CAAAGAGCCGAAGAAACTGAAAAAGAAGGAAAAAGACTTGAAGGAGAAGGAATTGAAGGAGCTGGAAAAGGCGAGGGAATGGAAGGAGCTGAAGAAACTGAAGTACCTGGAAAAGAAGGAGAGGGAACTGCATGGACTGTAGGAGCTGCANAAGAAACAGAAGGAACTGAAGGAACCGAAAAAACTGAAATACCCGGAAAAGAAGTAGAAGAGATTGAAGGAGCTGAAGCAATCAAAAAAGAAGGAGTTGAAAAAGCTGAAGCAGAAAAAGTAAGAACTGATATAAATGAAAGAGAAGGAGAAGGAATTGAAGGAACTGAAAAAGCCGAAGGAGTTACTCATGGAACAGGCGATGAAGAATTTAAAAGAGGTGAAGTCATCGGATATAAGAAACTGGTTGAAAAAAGAGAATCAACACCTTTTCAGGAAGGGTCGATGTCTTCTTCCGTTGGGACAGTGCAAGCTGATCGGATTATGTCGATTTCGCAACTTCGGAGCGGGGGTACTTATTCAACGCTGTCAGCGCTAAAACATTCGGCAGGAATATATGGTGGTGATGGACAAATTGCGTTGTCAACGTTAGGCAATGGAAAAGTCCCTGAGCACGGTAGAACTGAGCGACCTGAATCGGGCACGATGAAAACTGTTGAAGCACTTACACCGGTTAGATTGTTGCCTACCGATGAACATTTAATCCACATCACGCTACCTTCATCAAGAGCCTTTTTAGAAATGGTGAAACCTCCACATGAGGGAGATAGAGAAATGCTTGAAGAAATATCGGCAATGATGAAAAAAGGATTGAGATTGTTGCCAAAACAAGATAACCTCAATCAGAATGCATCATTATTGCCGCTAGAGACGACAGTTTCTGCAGAAAATTATGTAGATCACACCAAAATTGCATTTGCGCCTTCAAACTATAAAGAAAGAGATGAAAAGCGGAATGAGTCCGGGATAAGTCCAACAGATTTCATGGAAATTATTTTAACGCGGACTACGCAATCGGTGAAAGATGTGTTATCAAAAGGAACAAGCACCGAAAATGTCGGTGCAGGTCAGTTGAGTAGCACAATAGATATTGAAAGACCGGGATCAACCGGGAGATTACATCGTAAGCCTATGACGAAAGAGACCGAAATACGAAAAGAGGGACGATATGGAACAACAGGAACACTTTCAGCATCCGAAATTGTTCAGAAAATGGTGAAATTCGAAGAGAAGCGTCTCAATATTGCAAATAAAACAGATTCCAATGATATTTATATTCGTGCTGATTTATTAGCATCAAAACCTACGGCTATATACTTACCAGCTCGGAGCAGTGAATTAGAAATGACTGACAGTGCAAGCATGGCTTCCAGTAGAAATACTTCAATTGTTGGGAAACGATTAAAAGAAATGTTGAAGAAAATGAATGAGACACAAGAAAAATCAATGAATATGTCGAAAAGTGCTACTGGCAATGAAACAATGTTCTCTCATTCAAAAATCAATTTCACGGAAACTGATAGCTACAAATCATTGGATGATATGAAATTGGAAAAGACTAAAATAGAAATGACAAAATCAAAATCAACGATCGAGGAATCAACAAAAATTGACGAAAAGGTTAGTGTATCAAGAACTGATGATGCCTATCTACTACATAGTAGCAAAACAATAATAAAAATTGACAATGATAAATCGTTCAACCAATGACTTTGGTTTCATTTCAGGAATCTGATTCCAAAGTTGGGTCAAGTCTTAATGAAACTTCGAAAATTGGTAGCAAATCAACTTTCAACGTACAAGAAACGAGCAGTGATAGCGAATTTGTTGAAGAGGTTGAAGAGGGATGGCGGGAAGCACTGGAAGTTTTGCGTGAGCAACTACGTGTTTTTGAAGGCAACATAAAACTAATCGTGCATAGAATAAATAAAACTGCAAGTAAAAAAAGAGAAGAAAGTCAGAAAAACAGAAAGGTAAAGTATCACTACTGAAAATTATTCCATCATATTCATTAAAATTTAAAACAAAAAGTTTGATGAAATTCGTATTAGTTTGACCGGTTTTAGCAATTCGATACTTGAAAATTTACCAAATTTTAGTGCTAGATCTCAAAAGATTATACAGCAGGATAATCATAGGAATGTTTTAAAGCTATGGAAATTCAAAACTTTTTTGTAGACGAGTATTATGAACTTGCTTAGCAGTAAACATGAATTTGGGAACAACAAAGAATTAAAAAAGCTGTCCGCTTCTGGTTTATATGTTAATGGTAGCAGAAAAAATTATAAACTGAAAAACGAAACGATTTCAAAAAATGCTGAATCTATGATGAAATTTGATAAGAAAATTGTGGAAGGCAGTTGGCAGAAATCGACATTGTAAGTTTCGTACCATTCACTAATTAATAAAAAATTCAGTGATAACGAAAAGGAAATTTAAAAACTAAAACTGTCAAAACGAAATGCTTACATAAGTCAGCGAATTGGATTTCTAATGTTATTATTGTTTCTTTTTCTGGAAAGAATTACAAGGTGCAAAGTGATTTTTTTTAACTGTTCACAACTACATCTTTTGGATGTTTGAGATACATCCGGATAAGAATGAATTTTTATTTTGCAAATTCTAAGAAACCAATTTTGAATCAAAATTTCTTTGCAAAGGTGGTATGGAAAGAACAGGAAGTCTTTAATAATTCAACTATTGATTTTATCATAGTTCATTTTCTATCTGAAACGACTTGCTTCACAGCATTATATCATTCAGAATCTTTTGGCAATGAAAAAAAGTAGAAAGAAGGAATGAAAAAAATTCTCAACATTAAATCTTAATAAGAAACTGTTTTGATAATGAAAATTGTAGTAAAACAGCAATGAATTCTTCGGAAATGAGAAGAAAAACGTTGCAAACACGAAACCATCAGAGGCTTATGAAAACAGCAAATGAAACTTACGCTGAAGAAGAGAAGATGAAATTAAACGAAGAAAATGCAGAGGAGAAATTGATGCATACCAGATTACTGGAAGAGAAGGCTCGTTTGGAAGAAGTAAATAGTTTTATCATTTTTATTTGAGTTTTTGAAAGAGATCCGGAAGGCTAAATTAACAATTAACCAATTAAAACTGTTCAGGCACGTCTTCTTCGTGAAGAGCAGATGCAACTAATGAAACAGCAGGAGTTCCATCATGGTTTCGCTGACAAAGCTCAACTGGAACGGCAAGAACAGATAATTCGACGGTTGGAACAACTTGCCGAAATGGAAAGGGAATATCGTGAACAGCTTGAAAGAGAAGGGCGAATAAGGATGAAACTTTACATGACAACACCTCCCAATGAAAGCTCCTCGCCGAATCCAATTGATGTAATAAAGTCTCCGAGATTTAATAGTGATGTTATCAGTAGTTAAGCGATTATTTGAAGATTGGGATATTTTAAGTTATAAGCAAACACTGCATTAAGCATTTATAGAAAAAGATTTATGAACAAACTATCATTTTCCATAAAACGACTATTTTCATGAAATGAACCAATGGACTAAAAATTGGATTAAATTTTGATATATTAAAAATTAGATTTATAAAATTGGATTAAAATATTTTGACATATTTATCAATTAAAATTGTTTCAAATTACTTGAAGCTTTATTTAAATTTTTTCCTGAATATTCTGTACTGCAATCGTAGATGGAGAAAAAAATTTTTTTATTTGTCTAATTTTTATTTCAGAGTGATAAAGAAAACTTGATGCCCTTGCCACAATGTTCGGTTATCAGAAAATTTGTAAAAGTGTACGCTGTTGACGATCCGGTTAAATGGATTCGTGACAACTGTTCGATTGTCAAAATCTATTTTCCGGATGAAAGTTGCGGAGATGTGGAAAATTTATTCAACTCCTGCTTTCAATAGTATAGTGTAAATATCATTGCTAGCCTAATCAATTCTATGATTTTTTTTTTTTTTGAACGTTTGCTCAGTACAGGTATTGTTTACGATTCATCTTTTTGTCTTGTCTTCATTCGCGTTTTACACTAATAATCGTTCAATATAAAATTATGCATTTTGCGTGTTCAATAAATTATGTTGAATTTTTTTGAGTTTCGTTTTAGTTTTTTATCGAAAATTCCGAATTAGTCTGCTGAAGGACGGGAGATGACAAACCAGATATGCTATTGACTTCATTATCATTTCACCATTTTTAAATTTTCGATTTTAACTGTAAACTATATATTTGCTACATTCCCTGGACAAATGAATAGCTTTTGACAATCGAAAAAAAAACGAAAAGTAATTTTTTTGCTTCGTTCATGTTTTCATAACACAATAACAACTGATATGATAAGTGCTTTTGTCTTTATATTCCATTTGATAATGTTTCATCTTACTTTTATAATTAATACGTTTTAATAGCACTTAACAGGTTATGAAAATTGACACTTTGTTGTATCTATTAGAGAATGATGGGATTTAGAAGTTATACATCTTATATTGCATGCTTCAAAATAAAAAACTATAAAAAAAATTTTATCATTGATCAATAAGGTTATTCGATTGATAAGATGTGATAATAAAAGGGGCGAAAGCAATGGAAATGATAGAAATTTAATACATACAAATAGATATTCACAGATATGGCATCGTATACACACTGCTAATTAGTTGAGGCAGATTTTTGTAGAATGAAAATGACAGCATTTACATGCAGATTTCAGTTTTCAAATTTTTTCTTCAAATACTAAAAAATATCAGGCAAAGAGTAAGTAATGATTTGACTGAATAATTTAAAATATCTTAAACTAAAATTGAAAAAAATGCAATCATTTGTGCATGAATCACAATGAAAACTATTAAAAGAAAAATCGTTTCTTGACGGACAGTAACATATTACATTTAGGACAATAATGCCTTACATCTTTACAAGAATCAATTAGAAATGGTACAAATGCTATTGGAAAAAATAAAATGAGGATGATGAATACAAGCAACCACGTAAGACGACCCGATTTGTGACTTTGTTTAGTACGTATCCGGCACTATAATTGAAATTTATAATTCATAGGTTTAAATACTAATAATGGATAGTTATCACTTATATCTAATAGATCAAAAACTAAAAATTAATGCAATGGTTCTATTTTTAGAAATTCAAAACGGATCTTCAGAAAATTAAAGTTAAGTTCTGTTATCATTCTTTGAGTACCAGAAGTTTAACTCTGAAATACAATCTGATCAGCTAAAGATAATAGGTAAATACGTATCTATAAGTTCACTCCACTATATTCGGGAGATTGCAGATTAGTCGAAATATACCATTCTGCCCTTCCATCCAATTCTCTTAGTTTAAAAACGCAAATTCAAAGGTATAATATTTAACTAATTTTATTAATCTTAATTTAAACATATCAAAAAACTATACCTGACATTTTGGGCAAAATTCGTCATGTGGCTCCGCGGTTGTTGCCTTCTTAACGATATAATTTGCAACTGCAAATGACGCATTGCTTTGTCCTGGAAAAATTTGAATTATCATTTAAATTATGGTGACTTAAACCAAAGTCATATTAAAATATAAGTGAATATGCAACTTTAATACGTTGGAATTTTAATCGATGGAGCACTAATCAGTATTACAGTTGAAATGGTTTAAATTCATCTAAATTGGAATGAATAGCTGTTTGTGCTTCATTTTGTTTTTTTTTCTTGAAATTCAAAACAATTTAACAGAAAAAGTAATGGGGGAATCTTGTTCTCTAAAAAAGGATATTTTTAACATCAGAAGCTGAAAAAATGAATGATTTTTAAACTGTTTCCTCTTAATAAACTTGTTGATTTGTGTTGTTATTAGAAATTCTCATAGTTTGAACTAACTTACCGGAAGCTGGATTGACACCTTCTAAACTGCTAATAACAGTAGTTGGGGCTGAAATCAGTCGCGGATGAACAGTAGAGGTAACGGATCCACTTGAAAATGGTGTACATGGAAGATGAGGTGTATTACAATTCATCTCTTCTTTTTCTATGATTTCGTTTACATTTAAATCGCCTAAGTTTACATTAATCATCTTTGAATAGGGTGGTGGTGGCCTTTCAGGGCTATATGGAGGTGGAGGTGTGCTTTTTCGCACCGGCTCTTCAATTTCACCCATCCACTACTGCAAAAAACACTCTGAAAATTAATTTGCTAATTGTCAAACAAAATTCTTTTGGTAAACGATCGAAATGAGTGGACGCTCTGAATATTACATTTATGTGTTTTAATTCAAATCAGCAAGAATCAAAAAATAGTCATTTCTTTCAGATAATTGAAATTATCAGGAAAATCAAATTTATCATTGAAACTGAATGCCATATTGTTCATATGTCAATTAACAAACTATTCCTGTCATGGTAATTCATATTTCATATTGCATAGGCATAATACAATTTAGAATATTGGTTTAAAAAAAAAAATTTTTTTTATTGTAAATTCTTTTGCATGCACAATGATGGTTGAAGTATGAAGTATATCCCAAAAATATTATCAATAAATTTAAAAAAAAGACGGAACTCATTTAGGTCGAGTGAGCATCATTGAAAAATTGAAACTCGTTTAGGTCAAATGAAGCAAGTTTTTCGTTTTTAAAATCATATTTCAAGTATTATTCAACAAAAAGTAATCAAATTTAAAAGTTTAGGACCAATCAATGTATGCGTATGTGTGTATGTATTGTGTGTGTGTGTGTATGCGTGTGTGTTATGGGTGTGCATGCGTGTGTCTGTATGTGTGTGCAAATGTATGTGTATGTATGTATGTGTGTGTATGTGTGTG